CACCCTTGTCCTGGGCCCAACTCTGGGCAGGCCTCTGGGGAGGAGTGCCCTGCTCCTCACACCGGGCGTGTGGCATCCTGGAAAAACATTCCTTCTTCCCCCAGGGCCCTTGTAGGGGTCCCGATTGCTTACAGTGCTCAAAGGGACTGTCCCAGGGCCTGCGGTGAGTGGCAGCTCCTCTGGCTAAAGAACACGGTCTCTCTCCTACGATGTGTCCCTCCATGGCTCACACTCAATTCAAAATTCCCAAGGAGCCTGGAGAACTACATTTGTCAGAGGAATTGGGGATGAAGGATGCGTGCATGCACGTATGCACGCACGTGTGAGTATGTCTGTGCACACAGCTATGGGGTGTGAGGACAGCCCCGTGCATCCCTGCTCAGCACGCAGGAGAGCCCTGAAGACACTGCAGCATCGTCGGGTGGGGGGGGCAGTGGAGAGCCAGGCTTGGTGCCCAGGGAAGTGGAAAGCCGCATCTCTCTGCTGACCACAACAGAAAAGCTAAGTGCTTCCTTTGCACAATAATTAAAAAGCTGAAGCTGTTCAAGCTGTTTAGCAGCAGGCCGGCAGGCATCTCTGGGGAATGTCCATCCTCTCTCCTCAGGGGTGGGGGTTCTGAGTCAATGCCGTGGACGGCTCCTCCCCACCGACTCCCGGATGCGTCAAGTTCCAAAGTGAAAGCTCAGAATGCATCGTTGAACTGAATTCAAACTGGAGAGTCATCCAAACAGACACTTCACAGTAGCTTTCTCCATACATCGAGCACACCCAGAGGGCAGGCAGGAAGGACCTGGTAGTGGTGTGGATGTAGGGTCTCGGGCCCAGGGCCCTGTCCCCACCACTGGCCTTCCCTGAGCCCGAGGTCCACCCGCGAGGATGCAGGGGTAGGCAGAAGCCACGGGGATTTGCAGTTCCCACTCTGCCCGCCCACCTGGGCTTGGACCTACCTCTCAAGAAAGCCCCCCGTTGCACACCCCTAGAAGGACGTGACATGCCTGGTCACTCAGGATCAGGCAGTGGGTCCGTGTCCAGATGGCAAGGCCTAGCACTCACTCCCTGGGTGCCCACGATCTTTAGTTGGTCCTGCCCGTAAGCTGCATCCCATCCTCTGGCTGAAGATGCCCAAGTACCTGCCCCTCCAGCTGGACACACGGGATATGGGGGGCCCTCGGGAACCTGTCAGGACAGCCAGCCTGAGGTGGTATTGCGGCATCCCCTCTGTCACAGCAGGGCATGGAGGCTCCCCCTGGAGAAGGGCTACCCCTTCTACCCCTGCCAAGCCCCTGCTCAGCCCGCAGAGCTGGCCACACTGCATGCCCCTGAAGGCTGGCATGACCTGCAAAGGTGTCCTCATCTGGAAACATCCTCAGGTGGGGATGTCACTGCCCACATGTCACACCTTACTCTTGGCAGATCCCTGGCTCTTAGAGCCTTGTGCTCTTGGCATCCAAGAGAACCCAACTCTCTCGCTGGCTCCCCTGCCCTCTGTCCCCTGAGTCCTGCCAATGCCTCCAGGGTCACGTCCCCACCAACACCGTAAGGGCCCCCACAGGAATTCTGTGCCAGGCTGTCAGCCCTGCTGGCCTAGAGCTGTGCTGTCACTGCGGACACAAGCCCCAAGCTGTGGCCAGGGTCCCCACATCTGTCCCCACGCTGGTCCCCCCACATCCCCACGCTGTCATCTGGCCTGGCGGTAGACAGGTTGTTCGACTTCCCTGAGCCTTGCCGCCCCCACGACCCACAGGGTCAGGGAGGACCTCTTCAGGCCCCCAGGCCCTCAGCTGCTGGCCCCGCACCACCCAGCCCAGCGATTACAGGTGCCCCCGCGGAGACCGAACTCCACCTGCTCCCCTACCTGCTTCCAGCCCTGACCCCTAGGGAGAAACAGGAGCTCATGCTCCGTCCCTCCGTGCTCCAGCGGCTCGGCAGGGACAAAGCTGACAAGAAGAGCACCCCAGGACAGCAGCCCTCATGCCTCAGCCACGGGCGGGGGGGTGCAGCGGACACCGCCACCTCACATGCTGCTCGGGTCCCGGCCACGGCCCCTCCCTGTGGCCGCCCAGCAGCCCGGAGCTGGGTCCCCTGCACTAGCAAGGACATGGTGGCTGCCCTTCCTTTCAGGAGACCAGCACCAGCTGAGGCCCCCAGCAAGGAGCCCCGGTCCAGTCACTGTCAGCGCGTCCAGCAGTATCGCGGGCCAGACTGGCGCCTAGGGTGGCTGACCTGTCCAAAGGCCTCCAGACCTCACTGCCCCACACAGAACAGCCCAGAGCGACAGCACAGAGGAAGGTCCAGATGACACAGCCGACTTCTCCAGAAGGCCTCTCAGGGACCCCAGTCTGGGGAGCTGGCTCAGCCCCGCCTCCATCCCCTGCAAACGTTTTGAACTCACCGGCATCTAGTATGAGCCTCACCTCCTAGGCAAGGCACCTGGCTCCACAGGCGGAAAAAGATTTCGGGTGAATGTGTGGAGGAGAACACCCCCACACACAAGGTCCGAAAGAGTTCCCGAGACAGCTTTAAAAATGCCTGGGTAATTAGGTGCTGCTCCTGAGCCAACACCCATTTCAGAGCTCCCCCCAGAGATTCCCGTGCACCCCCATCGTTCCCCCGCCACTCCAGCAGCAGGCAGGGCCCTCCTCCACACTCCAGGTGCCCCCGCCCTGTCCTGTCCCGCTCTCCTACTGGAATGTGCGTGTGCACACACGCACACACACACACTCAGGCACGCACACACCTGCCCAGTAGCCCGCTTCACCCACAAGGCTCCAGACACACGCAGGCAGATGTTCCCAGGGCAGAAATCCCGGGGGCCTGTCTGGAGAGAAGACAAGGACGGCCTCCCTGAAGGCAGGCAGCGCTCCGGACCAGCCTGCAAACCCCTGCGTCCTCCAGGAGCCCAGGGAGAAACCTTGTGACAGAATTCACACTTAGTCACTAACCCTCCGTGGGGAGGGAAAGGCACAGCCACAGAGCCCGACCTCGGCCACCCCACAGGTCACTCAGACCCGGGTGTGTGGACAAGCTGGCTGGCGGACAGACCAGCACACTCAGAGGCCGTGGCGCAGCGGGACGTGAGGACACAGGTCACGCCCGACCTGCTCTCTGACAGAAGCACAGCTCCCAGTGGCTACCCCCACCTCTGTCTCCTTCTTGCTCACCTCTGTCTTTCTGAGCTGCTCTGCAGACTCTCCTGGCAGAAGGCAGACCCGAGTCCCCTCCAATCCCCTAGAACAAGAGGCCACCCTTGTGCCGGCCACAGCTAGGTGGTACCTCGGCCCTGAGAACCTTTCCCACAGGGCCTGGGCCACTTCCTGCTGCCCTGCAGGCACCACTCCCGAATACGGGCCTAGAGGGCTGGCCGAGACTTCCGGCCAGGCACGTCCCCGGCAGGACGCCAGCCCCGAATCTTTGCACCCTCTGCCATCACGGCCCACAGGGTGCCACGCCAGCCCCCAGTGCGGAGCAGCAGGGTTGAGGAGAACCGGCAGTTCCAGGAAACGCCAGAGAGCTCGGACCAGAAGGCTACCACTGGCCAGCTCTGGGGCAGGACAGGCCTCCCCAGGCCTCTGTCCCTTCCATCACAACTGTCCCCTGCAGGGTAGTAACATCTGTACCTGGGGAAGGAACTTAGCGTGCAAGTGGCCCTAGCCCAGATCAAGGGCAGTGTCCATTGATCTGATGGGGTGGCTGGGGCCTGGGACCCCACCTCCCAGGGATAGACCTAGGGTCCAGGCAGGGGTCCAGGCACCAAGGTAAAGATTCCTGCAGCCCAGAGAGCTAGGAGCCCTCCCCAGGACCCCTGGTGCTTGACCTCACAGCCCCAGCAGAAGACAGAGGTACCCACCACCCCACCTCTGCCCAGAACCCCAGACTGTTACTGACATCATGCAGCACCTCTAAAGACAGAGCCGCACCCATGATCCAGATGGGGAGTAAAGCCAGGCCCCTGGACTCTGGAGCCGCCCCTGCTGTGAAGCCGGGGGCAGGAACCTGCCCTGCAGAAGCTCCCCAACCCAGGCCCTCATTCCACCCGAGAAAGATCTTCCTTCTCCCAGCTGAAGCCTGCCTCCCTAACCCAGCAGCCTTGTTCGTAGCTGCTCTCACTCCAGTCTAGCCTCACCTTTGTTGGGTGGGGGTAGGGGGTGGGGGCGGTCCTTACCCAGGCTGACTTTTCCTGTGGGCTCTCCACCTAGCCTAATCTTCTCTTGGGGGCCCTCACCCAGTCTCCCTTTCCCCATCCAGCCTGACCTTGCACCCAGCATGACCTTCCCTGGGTTGGGACAAAAACCCAGCCGGTCTGTTGGGACTCTGTCTTCCCCGGTGCAGTCCTGGCTGCACAGGACACATGGCATCCTGGGACACTGTATGGGGAAAGGTGGCCAACCGTCCATGGCAGGATCCCAAGCCACCTTGAAGCTATATACCAATTGGCCCTCTTCTCAGACCGCTGGGCAAATAGGGACCCGAAAGAGAAATGACAAGCCAAAATACCAAACGATTAAAAGCCAAGACTCCTGCCTTTTGTGTGACAGCGCACCTGCATTCCACACCCTAGTCCGGGTCCAAGGACCGCCCTTGAACACCGCTTCCCTGTAGAGTACCCCTGCCATGCCCCACTTGGGTGCCACGCTGCCACCCCTGCAGGCGTGCACCCCTGATGTACCCCTCCTCCAGGTTCGGTGGAGGGGGGGCTGGGAGGCCCTGCACCTGGGAGATGCTGGAGCCTCAGACCTAAAAATGGCCGGGCTAGGGCCACTTGCACGCTAAGAGCGCAGGCAGACAGACGCCAGCCCTGGGCACCTGCCGGTCGTTCCGCGCGGCCGGGTCATGTGGGGCTCTCCTGTCCCCACCGTAGGCGGGGGAGGGCGCTCGCGGGTGCGGGTGTGGAGGTGGACCTGGAATGTGGGGCTCTCGGAGAACCGGGGGTTTCTGGGGGGGGAGGGGGCGCAGGCGGGGACTGGGGTCCCTCCGCCAGCAGAGAGGCGCATCGGCCGTACCTGGGGGAGCATCGGCCGTCGTCGAACACGAAGGTCCGGTTGGTGTGGCCCGCGCCGCGCGCCCCCGGCCACGACCCCGTGAACGAGCCCCTCGGGTTGCGCGCCCCGACGGGGAGCGGCATGCGCGGCGGCAGCGGCTCCGATCCGGAGCCGAAGGAAAAGCTTCTTCGCTTTGCTCCGAAACACAGCACTTTCTCCGAGCAGAAGAAAGCCTGCTTCAGGGTCGGGGTTCGGGCGCCAGGCCGGGAGCGCCCCCTGCCGGCCGCGCCGGGAATGGCGGCGGCGTAGGACCGGGCGGGGGACCAGGAGGGGGACGGTCGGGGTCGGCGCATCCCCACCCGGGACCCGTCCCCACCGCGGCGCTCGGAACCCTCGTAACCGCGAGAAACAGGAGACAGCGCTTTAACGCTGGAAAACCCCAAGGTCGCCAGAGGGCGTCTCACCTCTGGTGGGAGGGGCTCAGTCCTCCCAGGGAACCCCCCCCCCGCCCCGTCCCTGGAGGTCCAGCAAGAGGAGCAGCTAGAGCACTGGCACCGAGCGCCCCAGAGACCTGTGGGGCCCTGGGGCTCTGAGCAGCGCTCCCCTGGGGAGTGAGCTGAGACAGTGGCGAGAATCCAGGGGCGCAGGGCAGGCAGAGGGCCCATGCGTGGCCAGAGGCAGGGGTGGGGAGGCAGGCAGGCCACCCGGCGCGGGCGTGCTGGGGAGGCACAGGGAGGGACCTGCGGCCGGGAGCTGTCAGCATGCCCCCTGGCTCCTGGGGGAGGGTGGCACTTCACTGAGATGGGGCGCCTGGGAAAAGGACGTGTTCCGGGGACAGGCGCACGTGGACTGCAGACTTGCTGGCCTCCAGGGGCAGGTGGGTATCCTCCAGCCGTCCCTAGCCGGCCCTGAGTCCCACAGATCTCCGCCAGCAGTTCTCAGACCAGCCTTCCCACTCTCCTCTGGGACCCCTAGCTGGGTTCCTGGCTGCACAATGTTCCAGAAACTCCCATCTCCTCCCCCCCCCCACACCTGTGGCTGCCCCCGCCCCAGGAAACACAGACTGCTCCGTAGAGGGCCGGAGTCCTACCTGCCACGTCTGGCGTCCTGACACCTGGCCCACGTGACAGCGCCCGGAAGAGCCTGGGCTCCTGCGGGTTCCCGTTTGGGAGGCTGGCTGCCCGGCCCTGTCCAGGAAATCACCACTCTACCCCCCTGTCCCCTCCTTCCCGGGGTAGTCCTTCACCTGCGTCCCCCTCCCTAGTCAGGCTCCCTGCGGGCAGGGCCCCTGCCTCTCAATTGACAGCCCAGCTCGGGGCAGCATCCAGGGAGGCCCCACCTGGGTGCGAGCGGGCCGACCCCCGACCCCCAGGCAGGGCCGGGAGGAGCACCCAGTCCGGGCCAGACTCCGGCCTGCCTACCCAGGCCACCACTTCACAGCAACTTCCGCTGGGAGAAGCTCTGAGGCCCGGGGTGGGTGGGGGCGGGGCAGAGCACGTGCCTGGGCAGGGCAGGGGGCACGTGGAGCAGGGGGCCCACGTGAGTGGGCGGAGCCGGCTAGACGCATGCGTGGGGCAGGCGCCTGGGGGGTCCCGGGCGTGTGGTTGTTTCCTTGCGGCTGCGCTCATGGCGTCCCGGGGCCCTGAGGGTGCTTTTGGAGGGTGCAGGTGAGGACCTGCGGGGGCGCTGGAGGGGGTCAGGTGGAAGGCCTCTGCTCAGGGGTGCCGGGGGTGGGGAACTGAGCTGCAGGTGCCCACCCGGCAGGACCCCCTGGGGCAGGGCACCGGCCGCAGGCCCTGTGGGAGGAGGAAGGGCCGAGGGGGACCCTGGCCAGCATCACCCCCCACCCCTGCCCCGGCGGCCCCCCAAAGACGTCCATGAGGGCCCCTGGGGACTGCGGCGTTTTCCGGGGTTCACGGAGCTCCGCACTCTTGTCTGTCCTGGGCAGCGGCTCTTCCTTATGCAGCGGCCAGGGCGCCCGCCCAGTCAGGGCGCCCCCGGAGCCTTCCGGCTCCCGCTCGGGCTCCGGCTCCGGCTCCCGCTCCGGCTCCCGCTCCGGCTCCGGCTCCGGCTCCGGCTCCGGCTCCGGCCTCCCGCGGAACGTGCTCAGCGAGAGGGAGCGCAGGTGGGTGGAGGATGGCCCCGGGCTTGCAGTGGCGTTGTAGCGGGGGCGGGGGCGGCCGAGGACATCAGATTCGTGGCTGTGACGCGGGTGTGGGCAGCTGGAACAGGGATGTGGGGGCCATGCAGTCAGGGGACAGTTAGCATGCGGTAGGCTGAGCAAGAAAACCCAAGGGAGGGGCTTCCCAGGGCTCACCTCTGCAACCCCGTCTGACCGCAGTCCTGGGCTGCTCAAGGGTGTGCTTCTGGGGTCTGGGGGCCGGGGGGGGGGGCCAGGGCCGGGCTGGCTATGGCTGGTGCAAGCGTCTGGGTGGCTTGTGGCCGGCGACCCTGAAGGGCTCACAATGTTGGGAGAGCTGACCAGTGGAGAGCCCGGGGCGGCTCCGATGGGCGTTCCGGCAGCTGAGGTCCTTCCCCTGGCCAGGGCCAGGTGGGCTGACGGACACTGTTGCTTGTCTGGAAGCAGGAAGCGGATCTCCGTGAGCTGCGAGCGCCTTCGGGCCCTGCTGCCCCGGTTTGATGGCCGGCGGGAGGACATGGCCTCGGTCCTGGAGATGGCGGTGCAGTTCCTGCGGCTTGCTGGCACCCTGGTGCCCAGCCAGGAGCCGCATGCTGTGAGTGGTGTTCAGGCCGCCGGGGCGCGCTGTGCGGAGGGACCGCTGTGGGGCATCTCCCACGCCCCGGGGGGGGGGGCAGCTCTGACCTCGCTTGCTCCCTGCGGGGCAGCCGGGGTGGTGTGATTTTGGCTGGCGTTCTCTGTTTGCCGGTTCCAGCTGCCCGTGGGCGGCCTGCACCGGTGAGGCGGGAGCCCCGGGACCATCTTGGTTCTGCCATCTTCAGTCCCTCACACCCCCTCCGTCCCCTGTTCTGCTTTTCCGGGCTGGGGTCTGCGCTCAGGCTGAGCCTCTTGGACCCCCGCAGGGCAGCCCGTGACAACTCGCAGCCTGGTTTTCTGTGTGTGTGGCTGGACTGTTGTCGTTTAGGTTGCTTGTTTCCGTTTTAGGTTCTTGGTCTTTCCAAGGAGACGTGGCGCGAGTGGCAGAGGGATGTTACGCAGCAGGCCGTGTCGTGTCCGACCGCAGCAGGGCCCCCAGACGGCGGCACGGGAGCCTGTGGGCTGACTGTGTTAGTGTCCCCTGGGTGGCTGGGGAGCCCGCGGGGGCAGCAGATGCGGACCGTTCAGGCTCCTCCTCTGTCTTTGTGTCACTAGGCCACGGGCTCCTCCCAGCTGTGTGACCGCGGGCGCAGGCGAGGGCGAGGCCCCGTCGGGGGTGGCCGAGGTGCTGGAGGGGCCGCCAGCCCTCCCTGGTAAGCAGGGGCGGGTCCCAGCGCAGATGGGGTTGGTGTTCTCGCCAGAGAGGGGACAGGGGCATGCTGCAGGATGGTTTCTGACCCCAGGGCATGGGGGTGGGGGTCTGTTCCCCTGTAAGGGTTGGACACCTGTTGTGGTTCTCTCCTCGTGATGCACCCCCGTGTTAGGGTGAACCTCGGGGACCCCTCAGCTGTGGTAAACACAGGTTAACGGGCGCCACTAGGGGCAGGGGTGCAGCTGAGGTGCCCTGGGCTTCTCAGCTGCAGGTGGGGGGCTGCTCTTGGCCTGTCCTTGTAGCCCGTTCTCTGCCAGGGAGCAGGGTCCAGGCTTCTGCTCCCCAAGGACAGGCCCCCAGTCCTCCTTCACCTTGGGCCTCTGGGGGCCCCCGGGTCCTGTCCTCGTGCCTGCTGCTGGCCGCTGTTGTGCCCGGCTCTTGAGCGGCCGCCACGCAGCCTGGGCTTCTCGGTGCCCTCCTGATCCTTCTGTAATCGAGTGAGTCACGGGCTCTGCACGGGGAGGGCCTTTGTTCTGTGCCAGCCAAGCCCCCAGGGCATTGCTGATGACTGCCTCTGCCTCATGCCGGACCCTGCACCCCAGCTGTCTGTCACTCCTTGGGCACGAATGGCTGTGAGGGCCTTTAGGCCCCATGCACGTGACTGCCCCGGGAGCCACGGATGCCTTCTGACTGCCCGGACGTGCCCACGGAGCAGGGGAGGGGGCTTGCTGTCACCAGGCCTGGCGGTGGAGCTGGGGCCTCCAGGGAACTTTGGGAGCCACGGGCAGGGCGTGAGGGTGCAGAGGTCACATGGCAGGGAGTTAGATCTGAGGGAGGAGGCTGGGGTAGGGACTGGGGGGGGATGGGGTGGGGTTCCAGATCTGAGCCCCAAGGGCTGATCTGAGGCCAAGCAGGTGTTTTCTCTGAGAAGCTTCTGTGGCCCCAGGTGCCCAGCACTGTAGCCCCGGGTGTCCATCTCTGGGTCATCTGTGTGCTTCCTGCTTCTGAGGTTTTTTGTCCCTGTGCCGGGGACAGCGGGCAGGGGCCGAGGGCTGCTGCCCATGTGGGGAAGGCCGACCTGCACCTCACTTCTGCCGTAGAGCCCTGCAGCCTGCTGTCCCAGCCCCCAGGCCCAAGTCCCTCCAAGGCGCTGAGGCTGCCCCCACCCTGGCCTCCCCGCTTGTGGCAGCCACCCTCCCCCCTGGTGAGCGAAGAGGCTCAGAGCTGCCTGGGCCAGGCTGGGCCCCCAGTGGAGGGGGCCGACCCTGTCGTGACACTGGACGCCAGGTGGGTGCCCTGCTGGGCGTTTACAGCAGTCCCACACACCTCCTTCCAGTTCTGCCCACGCTCTGCCCGCCCCCACCCCTGGGAAGTCTGTCTCCCTCCCTCCCTGTGCCTGGGCCACAGCTGCCAGCCCAGGCCCGTTTGAGCCAGACGCCGCCATGTGGCTTTCTGACGCGTTTCCGAAAACGTTGTTATGTTCGTGCCCGGTCTGTGTTTTGGCTGATAGTAAACGAGTTTGTGTTTTGTGAGCACGCACCAGCTGGGGCGTGGGAAGGGAGCGTGGCAGAGGCAGGGGGTGGGGGGGAACCAGCAGAGGCAGGGGGATGGGCCAGTCTGTCCTCAGTGGGCAGGCTCAGGGTCTGGCGGGGAGGGAGGGGCACCCCGTTCATCCTGAACCTGAAGCCGCTTTTGAGGTTCTGCACTTTCCTCTTGAGGTTCGAGGAGTGGGTTCACCTGGAATCAATCACTCAGGGTGGAGTCTTCTGGTCCCATTCAGGCCCGTGCTGGGATGTGACGTGGAAGACGGGACGTCCTACTTGCTGAATGCTGGTCCCGACTGGTGGCTGGGTGAGTGGGGGTGTGCGGCCTGGGCCACCACTGGCCGTGATGAGGGCCAGGCCTTGGGGCCTCAGCCAATCTGGATAAGGGGCTGGGTAGCTGGCTGGGATTAACGGGGAGATGTGAGCGGGCTCACACCAAGGTCCTGCTGTTTCTGAGCCTCTATTTTCTCCCCGCTGGTGGTCTTCAGGGTCATTGGGGTGGGGAACGCAAGGGAACATGTGTGCACATGGAGCGTCTGTGAGCGTGGTGTGTGGAGCTGGTCGTGTCTTCTCTGCCATTCGGAGTCTGTGCTTTTCTCTAAATGTTCCTGCAAGGGCATCTGGACGGGAGATGAGCAGAACGTCTGTGAGATCAGTGTGGTGGGAAATGGTTTTGTGTTGTGCTCTGATAGGTCCTCCAGGGTCTTAAGCAGGGCCAGCAGGAGTGGGCTCGCCCACCTGTCATGGCACTCAGGAGCCAAGGGCTTCCAAGCCAGGCGGGATGGAGGCAGGCCTGTTCTGCACCTTGACCCCACTGTGCCCGGCCCAGGTACCCAGGCTGATGAGTCCCATCTGCTTCCAGGGTCTCTGGAGGGCAGAGGTGCCAGTGCCCCTTCTCGGAGCACAGCCAGGAGCAGCCTGCTGGACAGGGCAGAGCCAGGCTTCCTGACAGACCCCGAGCCTGGCTCCCAGGAGCTCCCGGATGGCCCCCTGGAGCCATGGGGCTTGGATGCGGGCTGCCCCAGCCTGGCCCTGCGGGAGGAGGTGGACAGTATCTTCCCCGACTTCTTCCCCTGCTAGGCGGCGGGGAGGGCCCGTGTCTCACATGTCCGTGTGGGGCACCGGGCGGCTTCTTTTGGGTTTGGGCGGCCCCTGTGCCCTGCTGCGGCGAGGCTGGGGGGGCCGCAGTGGGTGGAGGCCGAGGATTAAAGGCAGGGCAGCGTTCCTGCAGAAAGCGGGACTTCCGGAGCGTCTGTGTAATCAGCGCCATTCACTGGGCAGATGGCACCGCTTCCGCTCAGAGCGCGGGCACCTGCCTGGGGTTTTGTTTCTGCGACGTTCTTAGCCTTGCGGACTCCCTAAATAGCCCTGCAGCCTGGGGCGGGCTCCGGGGGCTGAGAGTTCTGTGTTCCCGGCCTGCTCCCAGGAGAGGCGGGCGTTGGACCCCACCTCTCACGCCCTGAGGTTGGTCTGGGCTGTGCGGCTCTCACGGCCCAAGGGTTTGTCGGGGGAGTCCATGGTGCTCTCAGCCGCAGCCAGGGCCCTGAGGGAAGGGCTGGCCTCTGCCTTCGAGGTGGGGACCTCTGCACTCCCCTCTCAGGGACCGTGGGGTGGCCTGGGGCAGAGGCCACTTGGTGTCAGCATCTGGACCCTTCTCCTGGCGGGCACAGCTCCAGTCCCAGCTGCTCCTGACCGCTGGGATCTGGGGAAGGCCTGGGTTACTGGGAGGAGCATCCCAAGCCCCCGTAGTCGAGTGTGGCTGACCCTGCCCTGCATCTCACCACCTTGCAGCCACAGCAAAGGCCGGTGTCCGTCTGTTACTGAGGCTGGGTGGGGCTTCACTACTCTGTTCCTGCTCATCCCTTTCTGGAGAACGCTGGGCTCCAGACACCCCCGTGACCCTCCAGGCCAGCAAGTGCTCCAGGAGCTGGGGGGTTTTTTCTTCCCAGGAGAGTAGGTTCTCCTGACTATGAGTCCTGAGTCCCCCATCCAGGTTGCCTGCCCCGCACCTGCACGCATTTCCATCCCTGCAGCCAGAAAGTTCCATTCATTCTGTGAAGCACTGCAAACAAAGGTGAGGAGCAGCTGGTGTGGGGTCGAAGCGCTGGTAGCGTGAGCCCTTGGTGGGGCTGGAGGGGAGCCAGGCAGCGGCTGTGGGGAGGGAACCTTGGGGAGCCCAGGTGCTCACGGGGGCGGTTATTGCCCCTAGACCCCAGTCCTCAGGACGTCCGTGCTCCTCGTGTGCGTGTGTTTGTGGGCATCGGTACTGGTGTGTGCACACACGTGATTGTGTGTGGTTCTCGAGTACAGGCCTGTGCCTCCCCTTGGCAGGGTGGGACACTGCAGGCGCCCTGCTGTCAGCCCAGCACCCTGAACCCAGCTGTGGGTGACCTCGAGGCGAGTGCCCGGGCCCTGCCCCTGTGAGTTTCTGGCTCCCTGAGCCCAGAGGGGGACCTGGGGTAGAATCCCTGAGCCCCACTTGGGAGCAGGTCTGTCTCTGCTGGGGGTCGCTGCAGGGCTCCGTGGAAACTGCAGCTGCTTCTGGTCAAGCTGACCTAGACCAGTCTGGTTCTGAGCCCTTGGCTGGCCACCTGTGCTCCCCGGCCCCATGCTGACCTCAGGTCAGCACCCAGTGAGGGAGATCAGGAGCCCCAGCTGAGGCCCTGGAGAACAGAGATGAAACCCTGCCCCAGCCCCACGCTCTCCCTTGGCAAGGGGGGGACAAGGCCCTGTCTCAGGCGGCAGGCCTGCTTCATCTTGAGCTCGTGGAGGGGGCACCTGGAGGCCCGGTGCGGGCTTGAGGGTAAGAGCAGTGGGTGACCAACAGTGCCTGCTCCTTCCGCCCCCCCCCCCCCAGTGGGAGGAGGGTGCCCTGGAACCGGCATTCAGCTCTGCCATGGCCATGTGGTCCCAGGGCCCCTGCTCTGCAGGCCGTAGGAGTATGGGCACAGAGCCCCGTCCCTGAGCTGGCTGGGGCTTGGCCTCCCTCCTGCAGACAGTGACATGCAGGGGAGGGGCAGGCAGGGCTTGATGGCAGAGCCCCCAGGTGAGCGGGAGGGGAGAGGGGCTGCCACTGGGCCTGCTGGGGGCTTGGCTGGAGCTGGAAGGAGCTGCAGGGTCCAGGGAACAGCCTGCTTCCCATCCATTGTCCTGCTCTCCAGCCCTTTGTGACCCAAATTTAGCACTTGGAGGTGGTACTCATACCTGCGTGTGCTTGAGGGTGGGTTTGGAAAGCCGTTGGCTGGAGACTTTGGGCTTGTTCTGGGGCTTTGGGGCTGGCTGGGGGGCTTCAGCACAACCTCCCCTCCAGCTCTCAAGGGGACCAGCTTCCCTCCCCACTGCCCCCGCCATGAGGTTTGCCTGGAAGTAGGACACACAGAAGGGACACGGTCCCGCAGGACCCCGGACGCCCTCAGGCCACACCCTCAGCCCACGCTTCCCTTGGTTTGGGACATCTTGGAGGGGCTGGGTCCACGGCTTGGTGACAGCCGGCCGTTGGGCTGAGCACTGCCCGCTCACCATCCTCGGCCCGCCCCTCCCCCTGCCCGCTTTCTTCTCCATCCCCCTGGCTTCCCACCACTCCTCTTGCTCCGTGGGCCTCGCGGCCAGTGTGGTCACCATGCACTGGGGTCTGGGTCGAGGTGTTCAGTTCTGCTCAGTGACCTCATCCAGTTCTCTGGCCGCATGGGTCCTGCTGGAGGGCTGGTTGCTCCGCTGCTGGGGAGGAGGTGCCGTCCCGGAGCCCCTCGTTTCCCCCCAGGCTCTGATCTTCTCTTGGCCGGACAGGCATGTCCTCCCTCTCCCATCCAGGTGGCCAATGAGTGAGCGGGAAGTTCTCCAGAGACCCTCGCTTGACTGGCCAGGCCTCACCGTCCCCCGCACGCCCCCCCACAGACCTAAGGGAGCCAGAAGCCTTCTTGGCACAGCTCCAGCCCCACCCTTGTTCACTGGCCAGCAGAACACTTTGTCATTCCCCCGTGGGCCCCGCTGTCCCCCAGCCTATCACCTGACCATGGTGGGGTGCTCATGGCTGAAAGGGGGCCTCCAGGCCCGCTCACAGCCAGGTCCCGTGCCCTTTGCTCAGAGGACGATAGGTCCCTCCACCCTTCCTGCCCCCCCCCCGCCCCCGCCGTGTGCTGGCAGGGCATTCGAGTTGTGGGGGCAAGATGGGCTGGGCCCGTCCTGGAGGGTAGCAGGTGGTGGGGCTGGGGGTTCCGGGTGAGAGCAGCTTGGCTGGCAGGAGGAAGAGTGAGGAGACAGGTGCCCCCAGACCGTGACCCAGACAGGCGTCACAGGGTGGGCCAGCGGTCAGCGCTGCCCCAGGATGAGGGCTGGCGGGAGAAAGGAGGCAGAGGCGGGACGCGGGAGCAGCCGGGGGTCCGGGGGGCCAAGGAGAAGGATCTTGTTGCCCCTGGACGGCGGGAAGCAGGAGAGGATGGAGTTGTTGACCTGCTGGGGACCTGAGGCCTGGGGACACTGAGGCGGGCAGCCACCGCACGGCTGGGGCTGAGGAGGTGGCTCCGCTGTTGGGTCTTGCTGGAAGAGATGAGCTGGAAAGACTCTTGGTGGGTGCAGGTGGGGGTGTGGGCTTCTGATGGAGGAGGCTGGGGTGGGCAGTGCAGAGGGGGCCGGGCAGGGAGGGCCCCTGGGGGCTGGGGGTGGCCTGGGTGTGCGTCCCAGGGGCTGGGAGCCTCATCCCAACTACAGGGGTGGGAGGTCCCCTCTTCTGACTGCCAGCGCAGCCAGCTCCCCTTCATGCAAGGCTGACGCAGGCCTTGGTGCTGGACAGTACGGCCTGCCCCAAGAGACTTCCTCGGGGGACCCTTGGCTATTGGCAAGAGCCCCCTGGTCTCGGCCAGGGGGTGGGCTTGATGGATGGCTCGGGTGGTGGCCCTGGGGGAGGATGGGCCTGTCTGCTATGGGGCAGGGAGCCTGTGTGCAGCTGGGCGCTAGTGGAGGGGAGCCTGGGGGTCTTAGGTGTGCATCAGAGGGGGCGGCGGACACGCACCTGCCAGGCCTGAACAATGCAGGGAGGAGGAAGATGCAGCAGGCAGCATCTCCTGCTGCCTGCCCAGTGGCTGTTCCTGCCCTCGGGGTGTCGGCCACCATCGTTTAGCAGACACACAACGTGTGTGTGGCCAGAAGGGGCTCCTATGCGGGGACCAACCTAGATTGGCAATGCTCGCTGGCTCCGCCCCCGCGAGACTAGCTTCTGTCCCTGCCAGGTGGGAAGCCCCGGGACTGAGGGGACCGGGTTGCCCTGGGGTCTGGCCTTGCTGACTCCCTGTGTTGTGTGTGGTCGTCCCTTCTGAACGGCACCGTGGGAACGCCTAGCAGCTTCCCCGCACCGTGTGGACGTGAGCCTGTGGTGAGCTCGGCTCATCACCAGGAGGGGAGGGTTTCCATCTCTGACCCCTGCGGCCCTGGCCCCGTGTGGTCACCAGCCAGAGCCCCCCCACAGAGCACCCTCGCTCTCCGGGTGGCAATCCTTTATTGGACACACCAGGAAAGGTCTCCAGGAACGGGAAGCTTCCTGGGGGGTTGGGAACAGTTGAAGGGCTCCTTGGGTCAACTGTGAAGTTTTGGTCTTTCAAGCGGGCAGCTCCTGTGAGCAAGAGGTGGCAGGGTGGGTTCAGGGGTGGGGACAGGTGGGGCGGATCCCGCACTGCCCTGGGCTCTGCCCCCGGGTCGGGGGCTGGGGAGGTCTGTCTGTGAGCAGGACCTCATCCCCGGACTGCTTGGCCATATCCCTCCTCCTCCAGACTGGCCCTGAGCCTCTTGGCAGGACCCCCAGCGCCCCAGGCTGGCCCTGCCCCTGTCAGCGTTTGGGGGGCCCTGTGGGCATCCCCACCTTGGTCCTGCCCAGCAGAACCAGCAGCTTGAGTCCATGCCGTCAGCCCCCAGCTGCACCCCATGGCTGGCGTAGCCAGGGCTCAGTGTGTGTGGAGCGGCACTTGTCCCTCATCACCCCGGCCTTAGGGGGCCCCTGTGCCATAGTCCCTGCAGGGTCAGAGGTCACTCACCTGGGCCCAGCGGCCTGCCTACTGTCAGGCATGCAGGCAGCGGTCTGTGAAGAAGGG